CCCTTAGAATATTTACATATTTGAAACCTAAAATCCTTAGAAATCGTTTTGTAACCCTTTCCAGAATAATGAGCACCAATAACTCTTTTCCAGAGGTCCTCAGAGATCATGACATGAAAGGTTTCCACAAACCTGTATGGTGAAGAGCAAACTCACGACATTTCGTATCTTTATATAGGGTAAGGCAAGGAGTTTATTTTCAAGTGTCGTTTGCGGCCTTGCTAATACCTAAAGCTATACTACAGAAAACCAGATGAGGACAGTATTGTCAACCATATCGTTTGTCAATTTTTCATCGTGTTTATGGATACGCTGAGGTACAAATATTATTCATCTCGTTTATTCCATACGTATAATTGTTTTATGGTTGTCCCCTTAAACTTTTGCAGTTATAACATTAAAATGATCTTCATACGATTATGATGAATCATTAAAAAAAATAAATTAAGTTTTCCCTGTATTATCTTTCCTTCACAAAATGTTCTTGGCTCATGAGTTTGAAACGTGGGACAAAAAAAATAGTCTTTCTGGTTTACCAACATTTGTTCACGACATCTGTGTGCAATGGAAAAAAAAACAGTTAAAATAAAAGTTGTTTTCCTGTGCGGTCTGGAATACACAGTAGTGAAATACACTTATACAATAGTAAAGTACAAATACTGTAAATGCAATGGGGTCTGACTTCACCTTTAAAACACTTGTTTTATGTATTGTTTTGTAATGTTTGACGTAGTATCTTCTGTTGGATTTTTCCCCTTTAATTTTTTTTTCTCGTGTCCTTTAAACGATTTTTATCCGTGTCTATTTTTCGCACTTTGAGGCCACCGTAGTCTCCGCTTGGCGGTTCGCAAAACAGTTCAAAGTCCATGAGCGAAAATGCTGCTTTTCAGCCACCTAAGAACGGGAGTCTCGGCAGGAAAGTCGGCTGTTTTCTGTTTCCATTGGGCCTGGAAGCGTTTTTTGCACGTCGGTACAAGAGTGACCATGAGTCCGGTCAGAGTTCAGGTGGAGCCCGACTCGAAGTGCCTGTTTGACAGACCC